ATACATAAATAGCATTTGTATAGCGCATATCCCCACTCGAAAGCTGGCTGTATGCGCTTTACACTATATTATTACCCCAGCAGACCATAGAACACTCAGAAACATTCTCAGCTTCCTGGGAAGCAAATGAATTGAAAGTATTCCACGCAGACCTACAATAGTAATGTCAGAAATGTTTCGAAAAGGTCTCTCGAATTGACTTATATTCTTTTTGTCTTTATCATTGGCAAATCCTGTTGTGAAACCTCAGAATTTATTTTTCTTCAGCATCGGCATGTCTGTGAGTAGCAAGATTTAAAAAAAACCCAACAGAATATAATGTATTATCCGGCAAAAAATGTACTTAAAGTACAATGACCCTAAACAAACGTACTGGATATCCTTTCCACATAGGCCTATACTGTGGTTGGCGGCTATGCTTTCTAGTCGAGTATCTAAATAACCACTTGAAAAATTCAGACTCTTTGTATTTACACCTACATAATTATGAACTCAGACAAAAAAGAAAACAATAGATCTAAAAAAAAAATGCATTTTCCGTTTTCTTTCCCAACAGAACTTGAAAGTTCATTTGAGATCCCATAGGTTGTCATAGAGACCAATATAAACATTAAAATAAGAGAAGATAAGATAAAAGAGGGACATTTTTCTTGCCTGTACAGGACCGTAAAAACACATGCAGGCATGCATGCATGCAAATTTTAAATTATACATTAGTCTCATTAAAATTCAATATGAAAAGAGAAGTAAAGCTGACAAAATGTGCATTCACATCAGATGCATCTTCCCCACGGGGCAGTGCCACTGACTGAAGTGTCTTTAGGCCATTCCCAAAGGGGGGACATTTCTCGTTTAAGCATAGTAGAATTGTAAATGGGCTGACTCATGTCACGTCATAACTGTGCCTGATCTACAACAGGGAACTGCTGCTTTTTCTTTCCTGCTTCTTACTATTGTCATTTTCCTCTACTTCTTTTTTATGTTTGTCATTCTCTTGTGACCTGCTATTTTGGGGTGCCTTGATAGTCGAAGCAGACCTTGTGCTGTTGAAGCTAGAGAGGTGACCAAAGTAAGCCTGTTTCCCTGTAAAGACTTCTCTGTTGACACCCACCCCTTGGCGCTCATATGACCTTTTGCAGTTGCGAGCGCCGTAAAACCCTCTACTATACTATAAAAGATGCATCATTCATGATTCAACTTACGCAGCGTAGTATTTGTTGGTCCCTGGGTGCTCATACATCTCCTGCTCCTTGGGGGAAACTGTTGGGGGGTGGGGGTGGGGGAGAGGAGGTGAAGTGAAACATGGGAGGAAGAGAGAGAGAGAGAGAGAGAGGAAAACATTGTGTTTGATTTTATAAGAAATGATAAAGCAACACAAAAAGCAATCTTTTGTAAATAAAAAACGCTGATAGAAACCTGTAAATTCTTTGCCATTTCGACAGGCTGAAAGTCTAGAACTCAGATGGCTGCTGGATTGGAAAAGTAAAGTGAAGAAAGTAAATCAAAATAGACTTACGGATGAAACAGAAGATGCAAGAAAGCCCCCC